AAGTCACACCCCCCCAGAGCCCAGGCTATGCCCCCCCCCCCGGGGGGGATAGGACCCAGAAGTTCAGCTGTCCGTCGCCCCCAGGTGACTGGGGCAGGGGGCACCTCCCCATGTCAAGCCCCCCTAGAGCACCTGGCTATTGAGTCAGCTTCATAATTAGTCCCCTCAGTGCAGGGGGAAACTGAGGCACGGGTGTGCCCAGAGCACCGCCCCCCCCCAGCAAACCAAGCAGCCCCAGTTGCCAATAGTCTGGAACACAGGGTGGGAGTGGGGAGGACTGGACCCAGGTGAGCCTGGGCACGCGCAGCACCCAGCGCAGGGGGCCCGGCTCAAAGCAGGACGAGGGGTCGTGACTGAGGAGTCAGGCCCTGTCCCAGCCTCCGCCACCGCCTTCCTTCCCTCCTCGAGCCCCTACCCCGTGGCCTAGTGCACACGGGCGAGAAAACCAGTGGGTGCAAAGATGCCCCAGAGCCAGGCCCGGACCTGGCTCAGCAGCCGGCTTCCCCCAGAAAAGACCCCACGGAAAGAGGGGAAGGGCCCGTCGCCCACACTCCCCCTCCCCAGGGATGTGCACTGCCAGGAGGCAGCTCCACCCCTGCAGGGAGCCTGATTTTGGCTGGAAAAGAAAGAAAAGAATCATCCAGGCCCCTTGCCAGGGGGGTTTCCAAGTCCTCACCCCGCCCCCCGCTGTCAGGGGGCACCAGGCTCTCGCCTGCCCCGTTCCAGGCAGCTCAGTTTGGGGACCCCCCCCCCACCTTTGGATGGAAAAGGGGAGGGATAAGAGAGGCCTGGCCTCCAGGGAGGCTGAATCACGGGGGATCTGGGGTAGACAGGGGGTCCTGGGATCATGAGAAAGGACCCTCGAAAGATCCCCCCCAGGGCCAGGCCTGGCTGTGACGGGTGAACATCCCACGGCATCTCGACCTGCTCTGGGGCCACGACAGCTCTCCGCCCCCCCCCATATAACATCCCAGGAGGGGGGGACTTATCGCTCTGGGGCAGGGGGGTGGAAGCCCCCTTGCTAGCTGCAAGGAGCCGGCGACAGCGGGTCCTCAGTGATGGGTTTATTCGCACCCTTAAGGTTACAGTGATGGGGGGGGTGCTGCGGGGCCCCCCCACACCCCCGTTGCTCTGAGGCTGGCAGTGGCAGCCCAAGCCCCCACCCCACATCATTGGATCCCAGCCTGGTCGGGGGACCTGGGTGGGGGCAGGGAAACCAGGTCCAGGAATGGGTCATGGGGGGGGGGGTCAAAAGAGGTGGAAGGGGATGTCTGCATTCGCCTTCCCACAATGCACTGCTCCTTGTCCGTGGGGAGCATGGATCCGCACCCCCCCATAGAACAGGTGCGTGTGGAGGGTCCGGTGTCTCCCGGTGCTTCCCAAGAGCAGTCCGTGCCCCACAGGGGGGGTGGGAGTGGGAGGTGAGGAGCCCCCGCTTTGTCCTGCCCCTGCTGGGCCACCGTAGATCCGGGCGTGGGGGAGACCCCCCAGACACCAAGTCCACATGGAGTCCAATGGGAGGCTGTGGCTGGAGCTGATGAGGGGAGGGGGCAGGTCTTCGCGGCCCCCTACCTGCCTCGGGGGTCCTCCCCAGAGCGGGGTCACTGCTGCTTGGAGCGGGGCCAGAGGCGGCTGGTCAGAGAGCCCAGGAACAGCTGCTGCTTCTTGGTCCTGGAGAGGTCGGCCAGACGCTGCTGCTCTTCCTGCAGGGAAGTGGGAGAGGAGGTGGGGTGGGAAGGGGGCTCTGGCACCAGCCCACCCCCCGCGGGGGTGGGGATCAGTGTGGAGGGAAGAGCCATGACCAAGGCTGCTTGGGGAGTCGGTGGCAGAGATGCGAAGGGCTCCAGAGCCAGGGGTGGTGGAGTTCACTGGACTGGAGACTCCTGGGGTCTACTCTCAGTTCTGCCTCAGTTTCCCTCAACAGCCAGTATCACTGCCCCTGCCCCCCCACCCCGGCAAAGTACTGCTCTGTGCCCCCCGCACACGAGATACACACACACCCCTGCCCTGGATGCTCTCACCTGCTCCAGCTGCGACTGCCGGCGCTTGAAGGTTTCCAGGGGGTCGTCCTCCAGCGAGTAGTTCTCCAGCACTGTCCGCACATCCTCCACGCTGCTCAGGGCGATGGCTGCAAGGTGACCGGGGCCGGGTCAGGCATCCCCTGAAGGGACCCGTCTCCCACAGCCCCCTCCCATTCCTGGGGCAGGGGGTGTAAACCGAGGCACCACCTGCTCCCTCCCTGGCACCCCAGTGACCCCCTTTGGCAGAGCCCTGGAAGCAGAGGGGTGCCCCCCCATCCCTCACCTCAGCACCGAGATGACCCCCTCCCCTTGCCGCCCCCAACAGTGACCCCTGGACAGTGGGGCAAGGAACAGAAACACCTCCCACCCCCCTCCTGGCTGCAACCCCCGGCCCCCCTAGCTCACTCTTGAGGAAGGCAGTGAGGTCGTAGAGGGTCCTGTCCTCTGAGTTCCCGTCCCACTTCTTGAGGGCCAGGCCATTGAACGGCTGCAGGTGAAAGGCTTCCTTCTTGCAGTCCACCACCACCACCTTGGCCGGGTCCCTGTTCAGGCACGAGATATCCTGTGGGGTAAGAGAGATGGAGACAAGGGGCAGAGTGAGCACCAGATCCAGCTCCGGGCACAAGGCCTGGCAAGGAGGTAGCCCCCCTTCCCATTTTCTTGCCAGAATGAGGCATGGGGGGATACCTACCCCCCAAAAAGCCTCCAGCCCTGTGTGACCCCGGGCAGAATTGACCAGGCACCGGAGACGGTCACAGTGGATTCAGGCCTCCTCCCCGGATGTCCTAGCTGGTGGGGGAGGGGGGGCTGGCATCAGAGAAGAGCCCCTTGCCCAGAGATATGGAGGAGGGGGAGGTCCCCAAAACGCTGGGCTGCCTGGACCAGGGCCTGGTGACCCCAAAAGATCCCTCCAGCAGTCAGATCAGCCTTGCTGAGGGCTTCCCTCCCCGCCCCAGCACATCCCAGCAGCAAACACCCCCTCCCACCCCACCAGCTGCCCCCAGCCCCAATCCCTCACAATCAAAACAAGCCAGAGAGAAAAGGAGGCCCCGGAGCCCCTGACAGCAGATGGAAGGTGACGGGGGGAGCGGAGAGACAGACGGTTCGCAGCAAAGCGGAGCGGTCGGGCTCTGCCGAGGAACTCGAATGCCAGAGCCTGGGAGCAGGACGCTGGCAGGGGGAGGGGGTTTAGGCTCCCAAAGGCTCCAACACCCAGTGTGGGCGGCAGGGGGGAGAGCCAAGGTGCAGCCTTTCACTTGGAGGCATTCACGGTGACGCTCCAGGCGCGCGCTGTGGAGGAAAGCCCCCCCCAATCCCCGGGGAGTCGTACCTTCACGTGGTGCCCGTCCACGTAGTGGGTGGCGTCCCGGAAGAGTCGGTAGGAGATGAAGCCGTGGGGGTCCACGTTGTCGATGAGGGGGAACGCCGTCTGCAGTGGGGGAGAGAGAAGGGGAAAAGGGGAAGCGCTGAGTCCGGAGAAGACCGGTGGGATCCGATCACAGGACTCCCCAAGGGGCAGAACCAGCCTGGAGACTCTCAGCCGGGTGCCGCGGCACCTTGCTCTTTGAAGGGTGCTGTGCACGGCTGAGGAAGCCAACACCGCGATTCACGCAGCCTCCAAACCCTCTGGCCTCGCGGAGCTCTCTGCAACAGAAGAGCTGCTCCCCGAATCTGCCGTTGGCGCTGGCTTTTTCCAAGGAGGGCCCCGGAGTCTGTAAAGGCCGAGGAAACCGGGAACCAGCCTATGCATAAAGCAGGCTGGAAAAGGGAGCAAGCTGGGGCAATCCCCGCCACACTGCATCTGTATTTCACCCGAGTCTTTGAGGTGAGCTAGAAGGAGGATTTTTTCAGGCCAAATACTGACACTTTATGATACTGCTAAAAGAGCGTTTGCCACTGGCAAAGGCAGACACACGAAGAGTCCTCCACTGCATATAATAGATCCCGGGTGTTCGTTCCTCCCTGCGGGTAAAGCGGATTATTGGGTCCTCTGACCCTATTCCGGGTCCATCACATACAGAAGGTCCAGGGAGGGCAGCAAGGATGCTCCGTGGTAAGGAAGGGGCTTCGCTAGGCGAGAGGAACGAGGCCAGGCCTGGTCAGGTCAGGAGAGAGATGCTGGAGAGGGACAGGATGAGGGTTTATAATATACTGAGAGTCAGAGATTGATTCTTGGGTGTCTCTCACCAGGCAAGGCTGAGGAGTCCCAGCACAAAACGAGCAGGCCTGCAGTGTAACACCGACACCAGGACGGTTGTTTCCTCCCGCGTGGGGTGAAAGGGGGGAGCTCGTGGGCATCGGGCGTGGGGGGAGCGGAGAGTTCAGCTAGATCCACCCGGGGGCTGGGCTTGTGTTGGGGGGAAAGGGGCATCGGGGGGTGGACCCTTAATGGGCGCGAGGGGAAGAGAAAACCCTGCTCAGACTCAGTCACTCTCCCTTCCAGCGCCGCTCTCTGCCACTGTGACGCACAGGAGACTGGGCAGGACGGACCTGGGGTCTGACCCGGTCCGTGGCACTTAAGTAACTCAATGTCTCGGGTCAAACATGGCAGTTTGCACCACAAACCCCACCCCTGCCCAGACGCCAACGAGTCCAGAGAGACGGGAAAAGTTGCAGGAGAGGAGCAACACAAAGACAGGCACAGGCCTGGCTGCATTTCTCACGCTGCAGCTGTCCCCAGCGGCGGCCAGATGCCAGGGTAATGCCGGCTGGGTTCGCAGCAAACCCCAGGGACCTCCAGCAATGCGGCAAAGAGGGAATCTCAGCTCTGCCTCCGGCCAGGGTGGGCAGCTTCTAGGAGGTCCCTGCCCAGACACTCGCTCTTCGGCGGTCTGGCTTTGGCAGGTGCCCTTTAGTGCCACCAGATTAGCACGGCAATAGCTCCGATTAAACAGGCTCAATGGAGAAGCCGGGGTCCATACATATTCAAATAGGCAGGGGCACACTCCAGCACGGCCACCCGCCTGTGAGCTGTTCAGGGAGGGGTGTCCAGAGAGACGTAACCACCCCCAGTGCTGGGCTGAAATCTCAATGCTCCTAGAAGCGCCCGGCTGGAAGGGACCTCATGACATCACGTCTAGTCTGGCCCCCAGCTCAGGCAGCTTCATCCCCGACTAAACCACCCCGGTCTGTCCAGCCTGCTCTTGGACATGTCCAGGGATGGAGATGCCCCATTCCCATGCTGGACCACACTCAAAGGCAGGATGTTCCTCCTCCTCTCCAGCCTCAGTTTCCCCTCCTGCAGCTCAAGGCCATTGCCCCTGCTCCTGTTCCCTGCAACCACAGAGAAAAGCCTGTCTCTGTCCTCTCTGCCATCGCCCTTGAAGGCCAGGTTCAAATCCCCCCCTCAGTCTCCTCTTCTCCACGCTCAATCCCTTGAGCTCTTCCAGCTTTCCACCCCCTCAGGCCCATCGTCCCATCTGACACTCTCTGCTGGACTCTTTCCAGTCTGTCCACCTCCTCCTGGAAGTGCAGGGCCCCGATCTGAACCCAGCGCTCCAGGGGAGGCCTCCCTGGTGCTGGATAGAGTGGGAGTCACTTCTCTCATGTTCCCCAATGAGGAGAGACTAAAGAGGCCAGGTCTGTTCAGTTAAGAAGAGACGCTTGAGGATGCACTGGACCTGAGCAGACTCGCATCCCCACACACCGCAGCCTTCTCTGGCTGTTACGGAGACGCACAACAGCTCTGTTCCCCCCACCCCGACATTAGCAGGACTTTCTGGCTGCACCCGCAGGAGGACCCAACTCCGGCGGGGACCCCGGGGCCCTGCCTCACTCACCATGCCCGTCTCGGACGTGAAGACAACGATTTCGTACAGCGGTGCCAACTGCTGCAGCAGACTGTCGATGCCAGGCCGCTTTTTGAAGCGCCAGCCGGTGCCAAGCTGGGGGCAAAGGAGGGAAGAAGAAACAGAGAGAAGAGGCCGTGAAAAAAGATGGCACTAGGTCCAGGAGGATGGGAGCAAGGCTCGTGCTGTCTGCCAGGGAAGCGGCCAAGAGCTCGTGACTTGCAGCCAGAAGGCTGGGAAGTAGGGTCACGGGGCCGGGCGCTTCATTACAGACCCCCCCGTCCAAACAATACAAGCCCTCAGTTATACAGAAGAGCTGGAAGAGGTCCAGAGAGGGGCAGTAAGGATGATGGGTGCTATGGAGGGGGTTCCCTGGGAGGGGAGACTAACGAGGTCAGGCCTGTTTGGTTCAGAAGGACAGCAAGGATGGTTCGCAGCTTCCCTAGGAGGAGAGACTGAGGCCAGGCCTGGTCAGGTTAGAAGACAGATGCTTGAGGAGGGACAGGACAACATCCTAAGGGGTGAAGAGAAAATCACTAGGGATTTATGCTGGGCTGTCTCTTGCCAGACAAGAAAGAGGGGTCATGGCGTAAAACGAGCAGGGTGACCGTTTAATGCCAGGACGGTCGTTTCCCCCCAGTGTGGGGTGAAAGGGAGGAGCCTGTGGGGAGAGGAACAGGGGAAAAACCCTGGTCAGACCCAGTCACTCTCCCTTCCAGCCTCCGCTCGCTGCTGGACACGGGAGAACGGGGGGGCACACTTGAAGAGCAGCGGATGGGACAAGAGGCACAAGGCAGGGAGCAGAAAGCAGAGCAGGGCAGCAGGTGGAGCAGGGAACATAGGACGGGTAGCGGAAAGCAAAGCAATGGACCAGGAAGGTGGCACACAGTAGGGAGCAGAAAGCAGAGCGGTGGACTGGGGATGAGGCACAGGGCAGGGAGCAGAAAGCAGAGCAGCAGACGGGGCGGGGGACATAGGACAGGGAGCATAAAGAAAAGCAGCAGACCAGGAAGGTGGCACAGGGCTGGGAGCAGAAACCAAAGCAGCGGAAAGGGCAGGGGGCAGATAGCAGAGCAGCAGACTGGACAGAGGAAGGAGATCAGAGTGCCACCCAGGGAGGGCGCAGGGCTAATAAGCAGCCCACCCGCCAAACAGGTCGGCTGCCCACTGAGCTACAGCCGCCTGCCCCCGGAGCGGACGAGGCCTTACCGACCACTCAGGGCGCAGCAGGACGTCTATGAGCTCGATGACCAGGGTGTAGGGTGGCTGGTAGTATGGCTCCTTGAGGGGGTCCGGGAGCAGCTTGGGACTCATGGGCTCGATGATCATCTGAAGGGCAGAGAGGCCGGGAGGGGGCATCAGGGGCCGGTTGCTTCACCCCTTCCCCTTCACCCCACGGCTGGCTCATCCCCTCGTGCGCCCCCTGCCCCCCCCATGACCAGCTGGCACAGCTCAAAGGCTGAGAAGCCCCCTGTAAAGCTGCTGCCCCCCCTGGCTCCTGTCAGAAGTAGCCCAATAACCAGTACTTCAGACCTCTGTGACCACCCCCCCAAAAAGAGACCCCAGTGTAACGGATGTCCGAGGATGGCGGAAGCCTCCTGAGCTGATCAGTGTTTGGGGGGTGGGGGTGTGTGCTGAAGGCAGGACCCCTTTCTGACCCTATCTTTGGCCCCCAGAGGAAGGCAAAACCCCCTAGTCTGGACCAGTGTGAGCAGGGGGGAAATCCCTTCCTGCCCCCAGTGCAGCGTGGGGCTGAGCCTGAGCACGGGGGCAAGCCCCTCCAGCCAGGACCCTGTGGGGCTGGTGCCAGCAGGAGCATTGGCCGAGCCCAGCCCCATCCCCAGCCTGGGCTGCAGCCAACACCCTTGTGGGGGGAGGCTTAAACCCCCCCTGACGCGTGGAGCAGAAAGGGGGGGGGGGGGGGGGGGGAGGGGGTTGGACTAGATGTGAGGAAGACCCCCACCCACGTCACAAAGTGCTTGGAGATGACTGAAGGGAGCCAGCACCACGCAAATCCAGTACAATATCCCAGCTGCTGTGCTCAGCTCCACCTCGGGCAGTTTAAGCAGAGAGGGGAGGCAGGAGTGCGCCCCCCGCTTCCCGTCCAGGGAGGGACCCGGGGCCTTGACTCACCTGCCAGTAGTCTTTGAAGTATTTATGCGTCCTTCGGAACTGCTGCAGCACCACGGGGTCTGCAAGACAAAAGGGGAAAGCTGTGGGTGGGGTGGGGGGGTCTACCCGTGGCAGGGAGATGTGTGGAGGCCTCTGGGGTCCAGTCTCAGCTGCCTTGCAGGTGATTGGCACCACGCTGCCTACACTGCCTCATTTTCCTCCTCTGCAACCTGGGGAGCTGGCTGACATTCCCTGTAGCTGGGAGCTGCTCAGGTGATGGGGGGGTGGAGACCTTACACAGTAACCTTGTGACCAAGTGCGAGGCAACATCTCATTAGTCCTGGAGCCTCTTAGGGCTGCTTGCTCTTAAATGATGCTTGCCCCCAGCCCCAGAGACCCAATTCAAGCTCCCTTCCAGCCTCCGCAGGACACAAGACACTGGGACCCAGCACATGGCTGTTAGGAGACAGCTCTCGTTTCACGCACGCCTTCGGTATCTACAAAGCAGATGTCTAGGAAAACACCCCTCCCAGGCAAACACAACCGCTATCTCCTGATGCGCAGCACACGAAGCGTGGGACGCTGTCTGGCAATCCCAGCCAGCTGATGCACGCGGGGAGCATCCCCCACCCAGCTGCCACGCCACCGGATTACTAATGGATTCCT